ACTCACTTTCATAGAGAAAACCTGCCACATGATTGGAAAAAGAGCTTTAAATATCCAACTTAACATACTGATCAATGGTCCCCCCATTACAAGAGACACTGAGGGCAAAATTTTAGGTCTTCGCTTTCACTACAACTTGAAATTTCATACCCACAGCCAACACATCAGAGTTCTATACTAATGTCCATTATCATCCTTTACTTAGTGGTTATGAGAGTGAACAAAATAAGGGAAAACATATAAAGAGGGGTTGTTGAGGTGGTTTGGTCATTTAGAGAGAATGGATCAAAGTAGAATGACATGGAAAGCATATAAATCTATAGGGGAAGGAAGGCGAGGTAGGGGTCGTCCTTGAAAGGGTTGGAGAGAGGGGGTAAAGGAGGTTTTGTGGGCAAGGGGCTTGGACTTCCAGCAAGCGTGCGTGAGCGTGTTAGATAGGAGTGAATGGAGACAAATGGTACTTGGGACCTGATGATCTGTTGGAGTGTGAGCAGGGTAATATTTAGTGAAGGGATTCAGGGAAACCGGTTATTTTCATATAGTCGGACTTGAGTCCTGGAAATGGGAAGTACAATGCCTGCACTTTAAAGGAGGGGTTTGGGATATTGGCAGTTTGGAGGGATATGTTGTGTATCTTTATACGTATATGCTTCTAAACTGTTGTATTCTGAGCACCTCTGCAAAAACAGTGATTATGTGTGAGTGTGGTGAAAGTGTTGAATGATGATGAAAGCATTTTCTTTTTGGGGATTTTTTCTTTTTTTGGGTCACCCTGCCTCAGTGGGAGACGGCCGACTTGTTGAAAAAAAAAAAAATATAAAGTGAAAATAACAATTGCTTCTAAAGCAAGTGAAGACAATGAAAAAAGGGATGGAATAAATGGGCAGCAAACAAATAATGGACATCCACTAAAGTCTGTTACCATCATGTATGTAGGAGGATTGTGAAGGTCATGAGAGTGGACAAAATAATGGAGGCAAAGGGCATCACACTTATCATTCAAGGACGGAACATTCGCCTCTCCATGTAGGCTTTCGACAGGAGAGGAGCCAAGAGCACCCAGACTAAACCTGTACCCCATTAGTGACACACAATATGAAAACTATGGCCAAGTTTTCTAGTGACTAATTTGAATGAAATGAGTTTTAGTTTTTTAAATAAAAGAACTATCAAAGTTGTAGATAAATGATAAACAGGTATACTATAGGTTTATATATTTCTTGGCATTACATACAACCTTGCATTAAAGGCAAAAATCACCAAGTACAAAACCAGTTGGTAAGGTTGAGTTACTAGAATTAATACATGTGACAATTCCATTGGAATCTTAAGGTCTACAATTCAACACTGGATTTTATGTCCGCACAGTACAAGAGTATCATCTACTCAAAAAGAAAATCTCTCAACTTCTCCATATTATTTATAACTAACTGTGTATGTACGTATATACCAGCAGAATAATGGAGAAGCTGCTAAATATATTGAAACTTAATGGATATAGTAACAAGTCTAAGTAAACATTTGAATATGTTACTGCTTAATTCAATGATCTACAAAATCATTTATGACTCGTATTCAAGTTATGATTTTACAATATCTATTGCTAAGACAATATCCCAAATAGAATATCTGCCTTACTTATAATATTACTAGAATATTGTAGCCAAAATGACCAAAGCTGGCATGATTCAGCATCTAGGAAATGTTATTAGAAACCAATATACCAATACTAATGTATCTGAACTATTCCAGCATTTCTAGACATTGAAATCTCATTTTGTGGTCATATAAAGTTTTTTTGTTGCAAATGATGACAGTCTCTGACATGACTTTTATATAATGATCTCTCACAATAATGAATGATCTTGTAATTATTCAAGAATAACAAAAATACTTGTCTCTTAAAACAAACATCATGTATTACTCAGTGTTGTGTAACTGAACACCAACGAATATTAGAATGGTTCCAAAACACAGCATTATCTTAGTGTACATCCTAGTATTATCTTAACGTACATGATTGATTTTAATTTTTTTTTTTATACTTTACCAGCCCGGTCTATGCTCAATCTTCGTTTTCAAGTGCCTGTTCAACCAGACTGCTGCTGTTAGCAGTCACTGGTATACATGGTTGTCACAGCCTGGTTGATCTGGCACTGGGCAGAGGTAGTGATCCAGTTTCCTCTTGAAGACATTTACATGTGTTTCAGCAATAGTTGTGATATCTGCTGGTAATAGGCTGAAGTCTTGAGCTACAGAAGTTGACACAGTGTTCTGTACCCATCGTGCCCCTGCTTTTCACTGGATACGTTTTATACTTCTTCCCATACCTTTCACTCCAGCAGGTTATGGTAATGTGTATATTTTGGGCCTTATCCTCCAATATCTTCAAGGTGTATATTATCAGTTACACTTAAAGTACTTTGAGTACATTTAACGTACTCCGAGGCATACCCAGCAATTTAAATGCTTTATTGACTATATGGGCAGTAAACTATCTCTACATTTTCCAGCTCACTCTCTTTTGCCTTGAACAATGCTGTGAGCACAGAATATTCTAGACATGAGAGCACCCATGATTTGGACAGTAACATTGTTGGTGTCACTTCCCTTATTTTAAAGTTCTCATTATCCAATATGTATGTGTGTGTGTACACATGCACACGTATGTATGCGCGCACACACACACACACACATGTGCATATCTCCAAGATTGTCATTATTATAAATAAATTACACTAGTATGCAAGCATCAAAGCATTGCCCTGTAGTTCTTATGACTATATTTTTTAACAATAACAATAATACAAATATAACCTTCAGCATGACAAAATAATGCTTAGTAGTAAATTAAAAGTTAATGCATCGTTTATAGCAGCAAATGTCTTGCAAGAAACAAATTGAACAGGATAATTTTTAATAAACGAATGCCTAGCTTTTAAAATACATAAAAATATAACTAAGCAACAAAAATACTATTGAGAGTATACAGTGGAACATCGAAAAGTTTGGAATTCAATTCCATGGAACCTTTATTTTGGTACTCCAGAAATGAGAGGCTCTTGAAGAGATGAAACATGTTTTAAGAAAATATTTAACCTTAAATTTACTTGCATATCTATTAAAAAAAAACATACAAGACTAGGCAAACAGCAATCCATACACATATTATTCAATACATATTAGATTAGCATGCTGAAAGTCATGACCCCCTAAACCTTGAGGGGCCACAGAGTACACCAGATGACTGTGGGGAAATATGATCAGACTACACAACAGCAAATGGTGGTGAGCAGCAGTCAGGTGTTCATCTTACCTTTTAAAGCTTGAAAGAAAACTAATTTCATCAATGTATTATATCGGTGTGTTGCAATCCCGTTCTCCATAATCCAGTAAATTAGAATGTTGCCTATACTCAGCATGAAAGGAATGTGTGGGAGCTAGGTACAGTAGCACAAGTTGCTGAGTAGCTACCTTTCCTTCCATATTTACCTTCAATACAAAAGTCACAATTATCATTTTCTGATGCTTGTAGACAGCTTTTTCAACATATAAAATGCTGCAGTCTTGGCATTTAAACAAGTGTACTAACTGCTACCAAAGCTTACCTGCAAATCCTGGAAAAAACAAGTAATAGAAGGGCAAGGGTAAAAAGGGGGAGGAAAAGGGCAAGAAAGAGAACAAGAAGGAAAAGGTGAGGAGGAAGAATGTGATGAGCAAGAGCACAATGAGGAAGATGATGGGTAGAGGGCAAGGAAGGTGGAAGGTGGGGAAGAAGCTGCAAGAAAGAGTGAGCCAACCCAAAAATTCACATGTACACCACACTATTATGCTTTTAAAGGACTGCAAGAATTGAAGATAAACACAGTAGTTAGAACATTATTTTTCTTACATTTTGTAAGAAAGCATTAAAGTTAATCCATTTTTGTGGAAGTGGCACCATCTGTCAGCCTCTAGCAGAGGCAAAATGCAAAGGGAACCATTAGTCTAGTGGTTCTTGCTTGTATTTTGTTGTACTTCATTCAATTAACAGTATAAAGTATAATTTTGAGTATACTTGAACAAAGAATTGATCTAAAATATGATCATTCTTTGAGGAATTTTGGTTTAGTGCAACTATATTACCTCACAATGTTACCTAATATGAGTTATATGTTATATACATCTCACAAAATAAGGAAAACAAGCATTAATGAATGCCATTTTATCTTTGTACTTAATTGTTTGCCTTATAAATTTTCCCTTAGATTTTCACGTCCTGTTGTTGGACAAACCCCAACTTCAGAATGATTCTGGCCCAGATTTAATCAAACTTTGTGTTCCACTGTACTAATAAGAGGTAAGCTACCTACTTTATACCTAAGAAGTCTGGTAATAGTATTAATAGCCAACATATTATTCCATTCCATATGACATCACAATCTATACTAAAGGATACATAATTAAATGCAATGCTAAATAACCATCAATGAATTTCATGTTTACATGGAAATCCATAACAATTACTAGGTGACATACTGTGAGCATGTCCTATATGGAGGAATGACAAATATATATATATATATATATATATATATATTATATATATATATATATATATATATATATATATATATATATATTAATATAATATATATATATATATATATATATAAATTATATATATATTATATAATATATATATATATCTAATATATATATATATATCTATATAATTATATATATATATATATATAAATTATATATTTTATATATATAATCTATATATATATATAATATCTATATAATATATATATCTATATAATATATATATATATATCTATATAATATATATATATCTATATATAATATATATATATATCTATATATATATATATATTATATATCATATATAATATAATACTAATAATTATATAATATATATATATATATATATATATATATATATATATATATATATATATATATATATATAATATATATATATATATATATGGGAGACGACCGACTTGTTTAAAAAAAAAAAAAAAATATATATATATATATATACACACTATATATATATATGCAAGCCCACCACGAAACCCATATTATCTCAAGCGTTAATGAACTAGAGTGTGACTCGGTAACTAAGTGGCACCACTCCCTTGCAACTCATGTCAACAAAATATTTTTAAAATAAATGCTTTTCTCTATACATTTTCTGTAACTCAAATCCATTTCCTGTGTACATATTCAATTTAATTTGGATATTTACTATGTTTCCCACTACGTACCAGGACTGCCCTCGATAAAAACATTCACTTATTTTAAACATTAATTTAAAGAACCTTTCTTTGTAAGTAATAAAACATTTTAATTAACTATCATTTAATTCTAGTTAAAGGGAGTTCTATTTATGAATTATTTGCATTGGTGAGCAAGGCAGTTGAGATAATGCAATGTAATTATGTATTTAAGTTCATGTGGAAAATTGTAAAATGCACCATTAATATGAATATTCTAAACCTAATGCAGTGATAAAAGGTCATACACTTCTATAATAATTTTGTCAAATTAATGTCCTAATTTAAAAAGTATTTTTAGCATGAAAAAATCAAATATTTTCTAGCCTTGCAGGACCTTACAATACGTTACATTACCAGTACCTTTCCTGCACAATGACTATTACTTAAGATAAATACTATTGTCAACCAAATTATCAACAAATTACATTTAATTTCCAAACAAAGGTTACACATACAGAAAGTGCTTCAAAACAACTGTGGAACACCAGTATAGTGGTCAAAGAATGCAAATTCACTTAGGATTTTTTTTTGTATCTGCTACTGTGAACAGCAAGTCCTAATAGAATTTAAAATTTTAATGCTATATTAATATGGAGATGCAACCTTGAAAAGTCATGACGATGATGTACATTAAAATATATAGATTAAATACTGATTATACAACTTGACTGTTTTTGTTTCTCTTGCATAAGTGACTGTTGTACAGGTGTTTAACTCCATACAATGCACTATATTTGACATTAGTGGCAATGTTTGAGCTTTCTAGGCTGGAGGCAAACACTTCGTAATGAACTTCTTAATATCAGCCATTTCCTGAAAAGAAACAGCAATATTTACTTCTTTGCTGAAACAACTAATGATACAATAAACCCTCAATTTAACAGACCCCGATATTATCAGACTGTATACACAAACAAAAAATATAGTAATCCTAACCTCTTCACAAGAAGAATGCATCATGCCTCTGTATGTCTTGAACTCAATATTGCCAGCAAACTTCTTGATTATTTGACTTGTTATCTGGCCAAATTTATATGGTACTATAGGGTCACAATCGCCATGACACTGCAAGATCGGTGAGCCAGTGTTGCTAATAGCAGCCTGAAAAAGTAAAAGAAAATCACCTAAAAAACTACATTCTTTCTCTTATGCAAATACTATAACTAAAAAATTAAGGGAGTGGTAGAGATGTTATGTTGAATGGTCACTGTCTCTTGCCTGTCTTTTCCCAAAAACTTGAATACAACAAAACAAGCATCAGAAATATATATCACAATTGCAAGTGCCACCATACGTAAAATCAGCAAAATACACTGACAGCCAATCACCACCTTTCTGTCATATGTTTAAAATCAACATGGTGTGATTTTCTACTAACCAGTTACACAGCTATGTGAAAGAACAATTACAGGATACAACATGGAATTATAAACACTAGTAACCATTGGCAGTTTCTCTGACATGGCTTTTCCAGGTACAGGTACACCTAACCAGTCTGAACAACAGCATCAATGATGATCAACTTACAATTACATTTTGAGTTGATTTTGTGATGTACATTTTATTGTGGCAACATTTCGCGTGTTGTACATCAATCAAAGTTCTCATCTACAAATTTTTGCGAGCAAAGGGACAACTGAACTATTAATATAGTTCGGTTGTCCCCCTTGTTGCAACTGTGTAGGAGTTATAAAGGACTGGTTAGAGTGGTTGGAGTGTATACAGTACAGGAGATTAGAGTAGTTTGGGTAAGTGGGTGTTTGGTGTTGGAGTGGGAGACTAAGTATGGAGGGGGGGGGGGGGAGCAGGAGGTGGAGATTAGTGTTAGGTGGAGGAGGATCCTAGGCAGTGGAGGGGTGTGGGTGTGTGGGGAGGCTAGAAGAAATGAGGTAGTGTGATGGTATGGGTGGCAGCACCAGTGGCCTGGTATGGATGATGGGTGACTGGGTGATTAGTGATTAGGTGGGTTAGGGTGAAAGGTTGAGTAGTGTTGGCACAAGATCTTGGGAAAGTGGTGTGGGTGGGGACATGGAGCTGGGCCGAGTGAATGGTGTAAGTGTAAGCAAGTGACTATGGGAGGTATGGGGGGGAGGGGATGCACAGGCAGGTTGTTTGGGTGGAGGGTGATGGCTGGGATGGTGTGGGTGAAACCAAATGGCCATGGGGGAGTCATGTGGGTAGAGGTTGCTTGGTGAGCAGCAGGGAATCAGTGGAGGCATAGGTTCACTAAGAGATGGGAGGGGGGGAGGGGATGGGTGGACTGTTACATGCCACATTTTCCCATACATGCACTACAACATGGTAAGTGTCTACTGTACTACAAAATTGTTTAGAAAAGTAACATGTTCAAAAATGACTAAACTAATAAATTTTAATTACGATTTATAAGCGTGTGGGTCTGGGTACAACTTATTCATTGGTAATCTCACCCACTTTGAGTCTTATTTTAAGCCAAATTCCATTTCTCAATTTGACACAATTCCTAGCTATTTCATTCTATTGAGCACAAGAAACTGCCCTTCAACTATCAGCACTACCCTATAAAATGCACACAAGTCAGTAATTTGATTACTGTTGCACATTCAACAGATTCTAATTTTTTTTTTTTTATTATCACACTGGCCGATTCCCACCAAGGCAGGGTGGCCCGAAAAAGAAAAACTTTCACCATCATTCACTCCATCACTGTCTTGCCAGAAGGGTGCTTTACACTACAGTTTTTAAACTGCAACATTAACACCCCTCCTTCAGAGTGCAGGCACTCTACTTCCCATCTCCAGGACTCAAGTCCGGCCTGCCGGTTTCCCTGAATCCCTTCATAAATGTTACTTTGCTCACACTCCAACAGCACGTCAAGTATTAAAACCATTTGTCTCCATTCACTCCTATCAAACACGCTCACGCATGCCTGGTGGAAGTCCAAGCCCCTCACACACAAAACCTCCTTTACCCCCTCCCTCCAACCTTTCCTAGGCCGACCCCTACCCCGCCTTCCTTCCACTACAGACTGATACACTCTTGAAGTCATTCTGTTTGCTCCATTCTCTCACATGTCCAAACCACTCAACAACCCTTCCTCAGCCCTCTGGACAACAGTTTTGGTAATCCCGCACCTCCTCCTAACTTCCAAACTACGAATTCTCTGCATTATATTCACACCACACATTGCCCTCAGACATGACATCTCCACTGCCTCCAGCCTTCTCCTCGCTGCAACATTCATCACCCACGCTTCACACCCATATAAGAGCGTTGGTAAAACTATACTTTCATACATTCCCCTCTTTGCCTCCAAGGACAAAGTTCTTTGTCTCCACAGACTCCTAAGTGCACCACTCACTCTTTTTCCCTCATCAATTCTATGATTCACCTCATCTTTCATAGACCCATCCGCTGACACGTCCACTCCCAAATATCTGAATACGTTCACCTCCTCCATACTCTCTCCCTCCCAATCTGATATCCAATCTTTCATCACCTAATCTTTTTGTTATCCTCATAACCTTACTCTTTCCTGTATTCACCTTTAATTTTCTTCTTTTGCACACCCTACCAAATTCATCCACCAATCTCTGCAACTTCTCTTCAGAATCTCCCAAGAGCACAGTGTCATCAGCAAAGAGCAGCTGTGACAACTCCCACTTTGTGTGTGATTCTTTATCTTTTAACTCCACGCTTCTTGCCAAGACCCTCGCATTTACTTCTCTTACAACCCCATCTATAAATATATTAAACAACCACGGTGACATCACACATCCTTGTCTAAGGCCTACTTTTACTGGGAAAAAATTTCCCTCTTTCCTACATACTCTAACTTGAGCCTCACTATCCTCGTAAAAACTCTTCACTGCTTTCAGTAACCTACCTCCTACACCATACACTTGCAACATCTGCCACATTGCACCCCTATCCACCCTGTCATACGCCTTTTCCAAATCCATAAATGCCACAAAGACCTCTTTAGCCTTATCTAAATACTGTTCACTTATATGTTTCACTGTAAACACCTGGTCCACACACCCCCTACCTTTCCTAAAGCCTCCTTGTTCATCTGCTATCCTATTCTCCGTCTTACTCTTAATTCTTTCAATTATAACTCTACCATACACTTTACCAGGTATACTCAACAGACTTATCCCCCTATAATTTTTGCACTCTCTTTTATCCCCTTTGCCTTTATACAAAGGAACTATGCATGCTCTCTGCCAATCCCTAGGTACCTTACCCTCTTCCATACATTTATTAAATAATTGCACCAACCACTCCAAAACTATATCCCCACCTGCTTTTAACATTTCTATCTTTATCCAATCAATCCCGGCTGCCTTACCCCCTTTCATTTTACCTACTGCCTCACGAACTTCCCCCACACTCACAACTGGCTCTTCCTCACTCCTACAAGATGTTATTCCTCCTTGCCCTATACACGTAATCACAGCTTCCCTATCTTCATCAACATTTAACAATTCCTCAAAATATTCCCTCCATCTTCCCAATACCTCTAACTCTCCATTTAATAACTCTCCTCTCCTATTTTTAACTGACAAATCCATTTGTTCTCTAGGCTTTCTTAACTTGTTAATCTCACTCCAAAACTTTTTCTTATTTTCAACAAAATTTGTTGATAACATCTCACCCACTCTCTCATTTGCTCTCTTTTTACATTGCTTCACCACTCTCTTAACCTCTCTCTTTTTCTCCATATACTCTTCCCTCCTTGCATCACTTCTACTTTGTAAAAACTTCTCATATGCTAACTTTTTCTCCCTTACTACTCTCTTTACATCATCATTCCACCAATCGCTCCTCTTCCCTCCTGCACCCACTTTCCTGTAACCACAAACTTCTGCTGAACACTCTAACACTACATTTTTAAACCTACCCCATACCTCTTCGACCCCATTGCCTATGCTCTCATTAGCCCATCTATCCTCCAATAGCTGTTTATATCTTACCCTAACTGCCTCCTCTTTTAGTTTATACCTTCACCTCTCTCTTCCCTGATGCTTCTATTCTCCTTGTATCCCATCTACCTTTTACTCTCAGTGTAGCTACAACTAGAAAGTGATCTGATATATCTGTGGCCCCTCTATAAACATGTACATCCTGAAGTCTACTCAACAGTCTTTTATCTACCAATACATAATCCAACAAACTACTGTCATTTCGCCCTACATCATATCTTGTATACTTATTTATCCTCTTTTTCTTAAAATATGTATTACCTATAACTAAACCCCTTTCTATACAAAGTTCAATCAAAGGGCTCCCATTATCATTTACACCTGGCACCCCAAACTTACCTACCACACCCTCTCTAAAAGTTTCTCCTACTTTAGCATTCAGGTCCCCTACCACAATTACTCTCTCACTTGGTTCAAAGGCTCCTATACATTCACTTAACATCTCCCAAAATCTCTCTCTCTCCTCTGCATTCCTCTCTTCTCCAGGTGCATACACGCTTATTATGACCCACTTCTCGCATCCAACCTTCACTTTAATCCACATAATTCTTGAATTTACACATTCATATTCTCTTTTCTCCTTCCATAACTGATCATTTAACATTACTGCAACCCCTTCCTTTGCTCTAACTCTCTCAGATACTCCAGCTTTAATCCCATTTATTTCCCCCCACTGAAACTCTCCTACCCCCTTCAGCTTTGTTTCGCTTAGGGCCAGGACATCCAACTTCTTTTCATTCATAACATCAGCAATCATCTGTTTCTTGTCATCTGCACTACATCCATGCACATTTAAGCATCCCAGTTTTATAAAGTTTTTCTTCTTCTCTTTTTTAGTAAATGTCTACAGGAGAAGGGGTTACTAGCCCATTGCTCCCGGCATTTTAGTCGCCTCATACGACACGCATGGCTTACGGAGGAAAGATTCTTTTCCACTTCCCCATGGACAATAGAAGAAATACAGAAGAACAAGAGCTATTTAGAAAAAGGAGAAAAACCTAGATGTATGTATATATATATGCATGTGCGTGTCTGTGAAGTGTGACCAAAGTGTAAGTAGGAGTAGCAAGATATCCCTGTTATCTAGCGTGTTTATGAGACAGAAAAAGAAACCAGCAATCCTACCATCATGCAAAACAGTTACAGGTTTTTGTTTCACAGTCATCTGGCAGGACGGTAGTACTTCCCTGGGTGGTTGCTGTCTACCAGCCTACTACCTACAATCTAATTTAAAGAGAGTAAAAAATAAACATAATAGGTATTCCAGCCACAAAAAAAACTTTCCCCTACACATTAATCACATCACCAGGCCTTTCCAATTACTCTACATTTTGAATCCCTCATCATTTCTCAGATTAATAAAATATAACCAAGAATGACTGGGTTAGGGTGTCCAATAATTGAAGCAGACTTGGCAAAAACCCACAAAACAGACTGGGGAATATACCTTCGATGAGTTCCGAAAGTTTTTATACTTCCAGAGCTTGGCCTTGGGCCAAGTTTGAAGGACCTACCCTTTCCCAGGAAAATCTGTAAAAATATATTATTTCCACCACTTTGAGGCCTATTTCACTAGAATGTCTTCCAATTCTACCAAATGAAACCATGAAACAGCCAAGAAACTACAATGTCAGAGGTTTGCTTTTCCTATCATACACTGCATGGGTAGGGGGGATGGCTAACTGGTCATCCAGCAATAATGCCTACTGGTCCTCCAGTAATACAGTGTCTACTGGTCCCTCAGCAATACAGTGCCTACAGGTCACCCAGTATTGCAGTGTATACTAATGTTACTGGTCATCCAGTATTGCAGCGTATACTAGTCACCCAGTATTGCAGTGTACATGTATACTGATATTACCAGTCACCCAATACTGTAGTGTATACAGGTGCTACTGGTCACCCAGTATTGCAGCATATATTGATGTTGCTGTTATTGGTCACTCAGTATTGTAGTGTATACTGGAGCTACTGGTAACCCAGTAAGTAAATTTTGTCACCCTATGCTTAATAAAATTACCAGTTTAAAATTACGTTTTAAAATACAATCATAATCGATCTTACTTGCCTGAGGAAATTCTTCCCTGAGTGGCAGCCAACATGATAGACCAACAACCCCAGCAAGTGTCCTGGTGTGGGTGAAGGTAGAATAGAAGGCCAGAGCACCGCCCTGGCTGAAGCCTCCCAACACAATACGTTCATGTGGGATGCCATTCTTCACCTCCTCTTCAATTAAGTGATGAATTCCATCTCTCGCTTTCTTAATGCCATCCCCATCTTCAGGACCATCCACATCAAGAGATTTCAAGTCAAACCTGAAAACAACATTAAGTTAAAATTTTAGACAGCCTTCATTTGCAAAATAATTATCTGCTACTAGCAACTTATCTTTCAATTGGGTCATAAACTTAAGTTTAGTCAGCCTCGAGAGAGAAAGTGCACAAGGCATTATATTTTTAATAGTTATTTCTAAATAAATTTATCGGCATTTATTGAGTAGCCATCAAAGATCTACATTACTGATGCCAGGGGTCCCTCATGCAGATCTAAGTCTTGAACACATCTCCCTCAGATAAACTGTGAGCAGTAAATTTTGGCCTAGATATGAAAGAATGGGTCTGTGCAGTGAATGTGCACAGTAAAAAAAAAAAAAAAAAAAATATCCTGTCCCATGCAATGCATGATGGAAAAAGCAGTTGTGTTTGGTTTAACATTTTCACTGTCCAGAATGCCAAAATTAAAATTGTTCTCACTGTTCAAAAATTTAAAAAAAATATTCTAATAGATTAAAAGAATATATTTTCTGGTGGTAATGAGGCTGACAGTTGACGACAGGCTGACGGCAACATCAGCAACTGCTTTGTACTCCAGTTGATTTTTTTTTTTTTTAATTTAAAATTTTGTACTTTTTTCTGGGGTTTTATAATTTTTTACATTTTCCAGTAACTTTTGTGGTTTGCAAGACCCATATAAAGCACAATTTATATATATCCACCCACTGTATGCAACACAATACCTGCACTAATAGTGTCATCAGTATACTGTTTACAAAATTTGCTTACACAAACAAATAAAAATGTTTCATTTACTACTGTTCTAATATTTACATACATATATACAGGCACTGGGTATGTTCCTAGAACTGCTGCAGTCTGTGTAACTCTTCGAAACACAGTTTCTTACACAGCAGTATTTTACACTCCTCACACATACAAATTGTGTGTGCTTTTCTGGGTGTCTTGTGTGTGCACAGGCATAGCATCTCTTCTGGGTCTCTTTTTTCTTGTTTGTAGCAGGAATTATCATGAAGTGATCATCATGCCTCAAACAAGAGGGTAGTTGGTGATCAGCTTGGGGATGCAGGTGTATTGCTGATGTTGTGATTTGGTATTTGCCTATTTGCCTGATAAATACACTAACAATAATAATAATAATAATATCTTTATTTACTACAAGTACATGTACAAGGTAAACAGGCCTAGCTGATAATGAATGACACACTACTATATAGAAAGCCGCTTGTTATGCATAGCATTTTGGGCAAATTAGGTCAGTTTTGTCCCAGGATGTAACCCACATCAGTCGGCTAACACCCAGGCACCCATTTTACAGATGGGTGAACATAGACAACCCATGTAAAGAAACACACTCAATGTTTCTACCCTCACTGGGAATCAAACCCAGATCCTCGCCATGTGAAGCCAGAGCTTTAGCCACCAGGCCATGGGGCAAACAGACAAACATAAGTGGGCACACAGTGGTCTGTTGCTGGTCATCTGGTATGGATTATATGCAACGAGCATTGAAATGTCCATGAGATGGAAGAAGTTTCATGTACCACTCTTGCAAACACAGTCAGCAAACCCAATCTGCATGCCACAGTTGTCCACCAAATACGTATTTATGGTGTAATCAATGACAGTCGCAGGTTTCAAAATGGGTTCATGGGTGTGTCTATTCACCCTTTCAGTGTCTCATTTTTGTTGTAGTGAAGCAATGTCAACAGTGTCATCTTGTTTGTCATGCCACCGTAATGCCAAGATGTCACTGGCATAAAACACCTGCAACTCACTGGTACCAGTGCCTGTGTTGAACCTAGGCATATGTTTACATCTTCTATGTACTGTACCACACATACACCTGTCATGTTCACATGCAAGAAATCACAAACGGGCTTGTGTACCAGCTATCCATGTACAGTGGTACCTCGGGATACAATTTTTTTTCATTCCAGAAGGATGTTCGAGTGCTGATACCAAATGAACTTATTCCCATAAGGAATACTGTAAATCAGATTAATCCGTTTCAGACCCTCAAAAATACACTTACAGAAGCACTTATGTAATTGTTTGAGTTTTGAGCTGTTCGTATCCCGAGGTACCACTGTATATATATGGTTCCATCATTGTTCTCGCCACACCACCTGAGATATCCAATAACTTCCTGGTATCTTTCAGTTTTGCTTCCTATGTACACAATTACATTCAATACCATGGCCATTATTTCCTGGTTATATTGTACAGTATTATCTGAGAAATAGAATAAATCTTCTATTTTTTGTGTGAAGAATAATTCAAAATGGAAGGCAAATGTAATATGTATAGGAGAGGCCTGGGGACATGACTAATGAATAGAGATAATGCTTTAGTGCCAGGAATGTCTACACTGATTAAGGAATATTTTCAAATCGGTATTTTTTTAATTGTGTACATATGGTCAAATTACTGACTTCTGTGCACTATACAGGGTAGTTGAAATAGTAGAATGGGTAGTTTTTTGGATTAATCAACAGAACAGAAGGCATACCAGTAAAATAGTTAAGAACTTGGTTGAATGGAACAATTTAATTGGCTTAATATAGGACTCAAACTGAGTGAAAACACTGATGTGTGAATTGCACCTTAATTCGCTAACTTTGCTTCTGCAAAATTCCATACATTTGGTGTCATTACTTTCAGAAAAAGATTCTCTACCATTTTAGAAGATTTTTTCTTTTAAGAAGTAAACACTGAGAGCGATATTAATTTCAGAGGTCCAGAAAGGGTTAACAGAAATACTGCAGTATACAGTAGTAGTATTTTACATTTAATTTGTTTCCCCCTGATGGTAAGGGACTCTTGATCCAAGCAACTGGACTAATCTTCCTCTTGCTTGAACTGAATCTGAATACCTCCCATTCCATAGATGCTATATGATCCCTACGGGTTGAGCACTTTCCTCTGATTAAAATTGAACAATTCTGAACACATTACTTGTCAATGACCGATGCATCGTATGAAATGGATGGACTGTTTTATGGATTTAGGCTGTGTAAGCACATATTTTGTTGGATTTTGTGCAACAAATGGAAAATGCATCCTCTGGTCAGCTTTAAACTTTTAGTGATGTGTTTTCCTCAAGGGGAAACTATCTCTTGATGTTAGTTTGTGTAAGTTATCATGTGTCATTTTTATTAGTGAAATTGGTTTCTGTGAATTGGAGAATCTCTTCTGAATAGAAATAGGTCACAGTGTTTGACTACTTGGTCATTCTAGGTTAAATTGACTTGATGTTTTTTTTATGTGCCTATAACGTGCACCCTCAAGACCATTCTTAAACACTTGGACATTATGTATACTAGGTGGGCACTCTTAGAGAAGAGTTTGAATTAATTTTATCCTAGGAGGTCCCAAATTCCTTTTTTGGAATAAACTGAAAAAATTTAAATGTTGCTTTTCATGATAATTTCTGAGTGTCACATCTGATTAGCTTCATGTCTTCTATGCTCATGTGTGAATACAATTTTTAAGTGGCTTAAATCTTAATGTGCTTGTTTATTTTAAGATACTGCTCTCTCTGGTTTGAGTGTCTTCAATTATACTGTGGTTTGTCTTCAATCAGACAGTGGTCTGAGTGTCTTCAATCTCTTAGATGGATCAACTAACCACCGGTTTTAAGTGAATTTCTTTGTCTCGGGAATTCACTGGAATTTTGTTTTATATTCTTCCTTTAACTTGTGCTAAATTAAATTTACTGCCATCAACAAATATTCCATTTGTAAGTTTAAAATGTCTGGCATGAAACACTGGAGTAACAGTGGTAAAGAACAAGTAAATACAAGAACAAAGATATTAAACATACTACATGCCAGGTGCTACACAACAGGTGTACCATATGTTCGGTAAAAGGACACAAGGTCACATTAGTTGCACTTACAACCCACACATAGAAGAGAGGAGCTTATGACGACGTTTTGGTCCGACTTGGACCATTTACAAAGTCACACTGACGAGAAGTAGAGCAGGAAGGGGTATATATAGGCAGGAAGAGGCAGTGGTGGTGGTGGTCATAGTAGTAGTACCACTACTACTACTACTACTACTACTACTACTACTACTACTACTACTACTACTACCACCACCACCACCACCACCACTACCTCTTCCTGCCTATATATATCCCTTCCTGCTCGTTAGTGTGACTTTGTAAATGGTCCAAGTCGGGCCGAAATGTTGTCGTAAGCTCCTCTCTTCTATGTGCGGGTTATTTGTGTATCGTTCCAGTCACGGTATTGTGCCTTTTTTTTGTTATGTAGTTGCACCGGTGTCCTTTTACCTAATATATCGTTGGTAATTCTGCCAACATTAATACAAGGTGTACCACAGGCCAGGTGTGCTACAAACTGTGTGTATCACCAGCAGCAGTAACAACTAAATTACTGTTTAGGTGACAGCTGTACTCACCATGAAGGCATTCTGAAGCCAGCATTGAGTGACACTGGAATCACTTGCCTGCAAAGAAAAGATTTAAAATGGCATTTGACTTGCACTATATTGCTTACAAAAGAGGAAGAATAGGATGAATGATAGATACAGTACCAAATTGTGTTAATACAGTGGAACCTCGGTTTTCGATGTTAATTCATTCCAGAAAGTCTGACAAAAGCCGAATTCAACGAAAACTGAAGCAATATTTCCCATAAGAAATAATGTAAATCCAATTAATCTGTTCCAGACACCCAACAGTATTAACAAAAAATACATTTTATAGAATAACTATAGTTTTACATACATACAGACAACGTAAAATACATATAAATGACTAATGAAATGGATAAATGAACATTTAACATCACTTTTACCATTATTGAAGACTCTTATTGGCATACGGAAGATGCCGAGGAGGGGAGAGGGAGGAGAGGTTATTTCTACCACCATTACTACCACCCTATACCACCATCACAACCACTACCACCCTCTGATATTTCTCCACAAAACTTTGCAACTCATTCTACGAGTTCTTTCTTGAATTCTATTGTGTTTCTCGCCTTTTTTTTTTATCTAAGGGCTGGGTAATGCTCATTCGACGAGAAACAAAGCCAGAGTGACTCGGAACGCGTGGGATGCTTTGTGTGGGCACAGGCGGACACCTTTGGTAAGGCGGACTACTGTCAACTCAACAAAAACCAAAGTGATGAACGAAAACTGGGACAAAATTTCGACGAAAAAAAGCAGTCAAAAACCGAATTTGAGGAAAACCAGGGCAAACGAAAACCGAGGTTCCACTGCACTTAACTTTTAACACGTATGACTTAGTTCCTCTAATTCAACAGCATAGGGTTCAGGACCTTCTTGAAATACATACAGGAGGCCCCTGCTTTACAGCACTTAGCTCTACAGTGTTTTACTAACACAGCGGTTTTCAATTTTACCCATGCTTCATTTATTCAGACTTCCTAAAATAAAATATTCACCACTCACTGTAAACTATGAAAATATTTTAAGGTAAGTAATGTGTTTACTGTATATGCATTTCTGAGGCCTAGCACTATTGCTCACTTAATATGACAGTGTTACCAAGTTTTTTTAGGCATTTGAAAGTGAAAAAAGGTTATGAGGCCTGGTCATGGACCGGGGTGCAGGGACGTTGACCCCTTGAACTCTCTCCAGGTAGTATACGAAGGTTTTCGTTTTACAGCAGTAGCCTGGAACCTAATCTGCTGTATGAGCAAGCCCTCTTACATTAAATTATAGTTGCAAACTGATACTGAATTAAAAAATTGCAAAACTATGCAGCATGAATGGCTGCCAGAACTACTTTCATTGTAGTAAGCCCCTTACATGATCTCTGCTCAGTTTTAGTGTGTGTTATTGGCAATGTATTTTTTCATGTTGACCATTCAACTACCACCATTGCATTTAGTTTCAATTTAAAAATACAGTGGAACCTCGGCTTACGAATTTAAACCATTCCGTGACCTTGTTCGTATCATGATTTGTTCGTATGCCGAGTCGATTTTCCTCATTTAAATTAATTGAAATGCAATTAATCTGTTTCAGCCTCTCAGGAGGCATGACAAAATAATGCTAATATCAACTCTATGGCTTAGTTATCTATCACAATTCATTTAGTATGACATAATAAACAATATTAATAACATAGAAACATGATACATTATTTAGAATGAATAAAATAGGCCATAATATGGCAAGTGATGGCGAAGCAGGCAGCGGCAGAAAGCATCCACCATTTACTCTCCCACTCTAGTATCTTCCCAGTCCATAACCCCACACCTAGCTTGCGTTTATCTATGATTAGTGGTGAGGTTGCTACATATGTAACCACAGGTGTGGTCAAGACAGATGTACAGTGGACCCCCGCATAACGATGGCATCACATAGCGATTTTTCCGCATACCGATTACTTTTATCGCAAAATTTTTGCCGCGCATACCGATTAAAAACCCGCTCACCGATTTTCGTCCGAGACGCGTCCAATGTGCCCTCAGCCAGCCTCACATGTGCCACCCGTCCCATTGTTTACCAGCCAGCCTCCGCGGTAACATCCAAGCATACACTCGGAATATTTCGTATTATTACAGTATTTTCGGTGCTGTTTCTGGAAAATAAGTGACCATGGGCCCCAAGAAAGCTTCTAGTGCCAACCCTACACCTCAAAGGGTAAGAATTACTATAGAAATGAAGAAAGAGATAATTGATAAGTATGAAAGTGGAGTGCGTATAGCCGACCTAGTCAAGCTGTACAAGAAACCCCAATCAACCATCGCTACTATTGTGGGCACCAGAAAGACAATCAAGGAAGCTGTTCTTGCCAAAGGTTCAACTGTGTTTTCGAAACAAAGATCGCAAGTGATGGAAGATGTTGAGAGACTCTTATTGGTGTGGATAAATGAAAAACAGCTAGCAGGAGATAGCATCTCTCAAGCGATCATATGTGAAAAGGCTAGGAAGTTGCATGAGGATTTAATTAAAAAAATGCCTGCAACTAGTGATGATGTGAGTGAATTTAAGGCCAGCAAAGGTTGGTTTGAGAGATTTAAGAAGCGTAGTGGCATCCATAGTGTGATAAGGCATGGTGAGGCTGCCAGTTCGGACCACAAAGCGGCTGAAAAATATGTGCAGGAATTCAAGGAGTACATAGAAACTGAAGGACTGAAACCTGAACAAGTGTTTAATTGTGATGAAACAGGCCTGTTCTGGAAGAAAATGCCAAGCAGGACCTACATTACTCAGGAGGAAAAGGCACTCCCAGGACATAAGCCTATGAAAGACAGGCTTACTTTGTTGATGTGTGCCAATGCTAGTGGTGATTGCAAAGTTAAGCCTTTATTAGTGTATCACTCTGAAACTCCCAGAGCGTTCAGGCAAAAGAATGTCCTCAAGGATAATTTGTGTGTGCTGTGGAGGGCAAACAGTAAGGCATGGGTCACTAGGGAATTTTTCTATAACTGGTTACACCATGCATTTGCCCCCAATGTGAAAAATTACCTAACTGAAAAGAAATTAGACCTTAAGTGCCTCCTGGTGTTAGACAATGCCCCTGGTCATCCTACAGACGTGGCAGAGCGACTTTATGGGGACATGAGCTTCATTAAGGTGAAGTTTTTGCCTCCTAATACCACGCCTCTCCTGCAGCCCATGGACCAGCAGGTTATTTCCAACTTCAAGAAACTGTACACAAAAGCTCTGTTTGAAAGGTGCTTTGTAATGACCTCAGAAACTCAACTGACTCTAAGAGAGTTTTGGAGAGATCACTTTAATATCCTCAATTGTGTAAACCTTATAGGTAAGGCTTGGGAGGAAGTGACTAAGAGGACCTTGAACTCTGCTTGGAAGAAACTGTGGCCAGAATGTGTAGACAAAAGGGATTTTGAAGGGTTTGAGGCTAACCCTGAGAATCCTGTGCCAGTTGAGGAATCCATTGTGGCATTGGGAAAGTCCTTGGGGTTGGAGGTTAGTGGGGAGGATGTGGAAGAGTTGGTGGAGGAGGACAATGAAGAACTAACCACTGATGAGCTGATAGATCAACTTCAAGAGCAAGAGGCCAGACCTGGGGAAACTGGTTCAGAGGAGGGGAGAGAGAAATTGAAGAAGTTGCCTACTACAAAGATAAAGGAAATCTGTGCTAAGTGGCTTGAAGTGCAAACCTTCATGGATGAAAATCACCCTCACACAGCTATTGCAAGCCGTGCTGGTGATTATTACACTGACAATGTTGTGAAACACTTTAGGCAAGTCATAAAGGAACGAGAGGTACAGGCCACTATGGACAGATATCTTGTGCGAAAGAAGTCCAGTGACTCTGAAGCTGGCCCTAGTGGCATTAAAAAAAGAAGGGAAGTAACCCCAGAAAAGGACTTACTACCTCAAGTCCTAATGGAAGGGGATTCCCCTTCTAAACAGTAAGAAGATAATGCTCTCCCCTCCTCCCATCCCATCAATCATCACCAGATCTTCAATAAAAGTAAGTGTCATGTAATTGTGCATGCCTTTTTCAGTTTGTGTGTATTAAAATTAACATTTCATGTGGTAAAAAAAAATTTTTTTTCATACTTTTGGGCGTCTTGCACGGATTAATTTTATTTCCATTATTTCTTATGGGGAAAATTCATTCGCATAACGATTATTTCGCATAACAATTATCCCTCTTGCACGGATTAAAATCGTTAACCGGGGGTCCACTGTATATATAGGTGAAGACGTTATCACTGTAGCCACAGTGGTGCTGGTGGTGGCGGCGGCCAGCTGCCTCACTCTATGCTGCTGGTTTCTTCGTTTCTCTAGCTTTTTTCAGTTTCTAATCACTTCCTGAGCTTCTTGCTGATTGTATATGAATATTGTCTCTTTGGGCAAGGCATTGTGTAAGAAATTTGTACAATACAAGACAAAATTATGCATCCCAAGGGTCTGCTGCGGTCATTCAGAGCGGCACACCTATTCCTTTTGACCCTTGGTTGGTACTGAGATAGCCATGGTCTAGTAGTACCTACAGCCACCCAGAGGATTACCAATTTGTATTTTGAAGCATTCTGCACAAAAAAAAAAAAAAGTCTAAAAATGACAACATATTACTATTACATTGGTCCCTCAATAATCGTCTGGCCTGAAAGTCGTCCATTTCAGAAATAGTCCTGTTATTTCGTCAAACATTGGCTATCAAATGGTCTGTTAACTCGCTAATAGTCCTTCGTCCGGGACGCGTACTCATGCTCTGAGCCGCCTGGGCCTTCTCTTCCCAGCCAGTGTGCCATTGTTTACCAGTGAGCGACGGTCCCCTCACTGGCTCCAACGAAATATTTCATAATATTCCATTGATTTTAATGCTTGCAAGTGCTAAATAAGCTACCATGGCTCCAAAGAAAGCCCCTAGTTCCAAGCCTTTGGTAAAGAAGGTGAGAAATACGACTGAATTTAAGAAAAACATCATTGAACAATATGATAGTGGCGTACGTGTGGGTGAACTGGCCAGGATGTATAACAAATCCCGTACA